GAATTGGGATGAAAGTAAGACCACGTACAGCAATTGAATTCCATAAAAATATAGAGAGTACATATTTTCTACTCCGATGTTTCCTTTGACTAATATATTACTCAATTCTCTATAATATCCAAAAGTTAATTGGACATGGACAATATTGGAAAACTTTGTTCATGAATTCAAGCATGCAGGCACAATTTTTTACGGGGTTTGATTTAATGGACTGACCATGTTTTTCTTTCATCGAATATAAAATAAATTTGGTCCTGGTCTCTTGTTGAGTCTTTGTACTTGCTACTTTATTATTATTATTATTATTTTATAAGGATTAGGTATTGTTCTCACTTTTCAATGTTAAGTGATCAACTATGTATGAACATCGTCATATTAGTGACGCTGTACACGCCCACCATCTATATATTAATCCAACTAAAACAAAACTTTAATATTTTTTTATAATTGAGAAAAGTAAATGACATATCTATTATTTATATTATTTTAAATAATTAAGTATTATTATAACTTTTTGTTCCGAGAATAAACTAAAAATTCTACTCAATATGGTAAAAAATGTTATTTATGTCACTTCACTCAAAACAAACAATTATCATTCAATTAATAAAAAGAAAATAAAATGCAACAATGACACCTTATTATCTAGAATGACAAATAATAGACATGCTTAAACCATGACATATCATGTACTTTTCTCTTTGTTTTGTTTTTATTAATTGAATGACAATTATTTATTTTTTAGTGCAGTAGCATAAATAATATATTTTTACAATGATATTTCTCATTTTTTTCCTTTTTAATTTTAATTTTAACTTTTTTAAATTAAATGACTCAAGTAAAAGGTCACGGACTATACCTTTTACTAACCACTTTTGCTATGTCTAAAGGAAAGCTTTATTGTACTTTGTTTTTCTTTCTTTCATACTCTATATGGCATAAATCAGAAAGTTTGCTTGTAATTCTCTCTCTTATTTTTTTTCTTTATTTTTCAGTTAACTTTTTCTTTAAGAAAGAAGAACACGCGATGAAAATGTGCACCAACTACGGATGACTCTTCTCTCTCTCCCCCCCTCTCTCTATATATATATATATATATATATATATTTTCTTTTTCTTTAAATACATGCATTAAATAACTAATATTTTATTTTGTAACAAAAAATGAAATGAAATTAATCATGCATTTAGTTGTCCGTTATCCTTAATTCATACGTTATTAAGAAGATAAACATGTATCTGAGCATTCTAATAATTTAATCAAGTGTTTTTCACCAAATTTCAATTAACAAAAGTTAATGTGTAATCTTACTAACAAGACATCTTTTTGAGTTGATTAGAAACCAATATATATTTCTTTTGGATGAGGAAAAAAATACTAATGTTACATCACATCTGATTAGGAACCCTCTGTTGTAATACGACAAGATTAAGATATATTATGTTTGATATATACTTCATATATTACCTTACTAGAATTCTTTTACGTTTAATATAATATTATACTCTTAGTTGAGCTATTGTCTTGGTCGAAGAGTTATTTGTGAATGTAGTGGCAATGAAAGAGATCAAACCCAGGAGGTCAAAAATGGCTGACCAACCTTAGAGAACTAACTTCATTTATACTTCTATTTATTGGTAATTATTTAGCACCCATTCTAGTTGTAACCAATTAAAAATGGCAATGGCCATGTCCATAGTTTTACTTTTAACAATTAGAAAAACAACATTATATTTTCTTGATACTCGTTTTTTGACTAATTATATCACCAATAAAGTAGAACTTATAACCAACTAAAAGTCGAGTTTTTTTTTTTTTTTTTTTTTTTTTTTTTTTTTGAATTAGGTGAAAAGTGTCATACCTAAGAAAAGCAAAAACAAAAACAAAAACAAAAAGTTTTAAGTGTGAACTGTGAAGAGATTCCTCAATGTTGCACATTCATATGGGTATGGGTGCACATGCACTAGGTCAAATTCTAGTAAATTGAACATGTTTGCATTTCAACAATAGTATTCTCCTTTTAGAACTAATTTGCAGAGTCACTTTTGCTTTTAGCACAACTAATAAATAATTTTGGAAAGGCGGATTAGGTCAAAAGATTTGTTGAATCAATTTGAACTTTTTCGATGTGCTTGTATTCACGTGAAATATTGGTAGTTATATATACACAATATATACACTATTATTTCAACTTTCTGATTCTTTTGCATTTTAGGTTTCGGGGCAGCCAATTTTGACATTATGTTTCACTTGTCTTTTCTTTTCTTTTTATTTAATTTTTCCTCCCCAACTTTTACATTTCGTGGGGAGAAGTGAATGGAAACAAGTTGTGTAAAATCCAAAAGAAACGACAAAAAATTACCACCGTCATGTTAACAAATGTTAGATATAGAGAAATCACATTTTCTTCCTTAATATTTCTCTGGATCAGTCAAAACAACTATCTAAGCTACATTCGCAAACTTTGTGATTGGAAACACTTGGTAAATATACCAACTACACGATGATTATATTAACATGAAAAAAAAATTTATATCAGATAATATAGTCCTATAAATAAATAATTTGTTAATGACTGTTAGGTCAAATATTCATAAAATGTAGTACGAATAGTTTAGAAGATTTGATCCCCTATTATTCTACTAGAATAAATGTTTTCGTCTTTTTCTTTTTTGGGATTTTACTCCATAAGAATTCTACTTAGAATTATTTTTGCATAGTTAGTTTTAACTCGGTACTTTTTTGTTCAATGATTATGGTGATCTTCCACATAATCAAAACCTTATAAGGCCATCAACTAACATTTTAAACACAGTGCATTTTACTCCTTTGAATTCTTTTGAAAGGAGAAAAACAATTCAAAGGAGTAAAATACATTGCGTATAAAATGTTAGTTAATCATGGCATTCTGCACATTGTATTTTACTCCTTTGAATTATGGTGCTTTTTGCACATTGTCTATATGATATGAATTAATAACAATAACAAAGAACCAGTCAAATTGCATGTCCATCGTACTAATTAGTAATCCTTGATATATATTGACCAATATGTAGCATTTGTCGATTTCCTAAACGAATTCTTGCAGGTGGCACGCCATAATGTGAATTTTGCAAGTATAAGGGTAATACTGTATTACTAAAACAAAAGTTTTTTCTTTTTTTCCTTTCTTGGCTAAAATTAGTACAAACTTCTTAAATTTTGTGGTTGCCATTATTTAATTCTATCCAAATTTGACACCTTCATTGGAATTACAAAGGAATATAAAATACACTAAATACAGTATTTCAGAATGATAAAGTGGACAATTCGCCTTTTATATTAGTTATTACTGCTGCCATAAGAGTCCCAACAATGTACCTTTTTTTTAAATAAATAAAAAAAAAGCACACCACTATATTGATAATCCTTTTTATAACATAGAAGTCAAGCATATAAACCTCCCCAAAGGAATATAACAAGGGAATTTTACGCTTGGGCAAAATTACCTTATTAATATAGCTCTATTTTCACGTGTAAAATATGTACTAGATTCTTTTAATCTTGCATGTTTTTACCTTTTCATATAATTTTATTAGATTTACGATTAAAAATATGCACCACCGATGCACCAACGTTATGATACACAGGGTGCGTTTGGAACTCGTTCTAAAATGATTTTGTTTTTTGTATGAAAATAAAAATGAAAACGTTTTCAATCTCAGACGAAAATCATTTTGAAAATGCGTTTGGTAATTTTTCAAGAGATTGTTTTCAGTATAAAAAATCCATTAAGCTCTCTCTCTCTCTACTTAAGAGAGGAGAAAATATAAACAAAAAATGAAAAATGACTAAAAGTCATTTTTTATTTCTCTCCCATTTTATATTAAACCAAAAAATCATTTTTATTTCTGTTTTTTGTCTTTAATTGTGACAAACGCCGTTTTTCTCCCATTTTCTTTTTTTTCTTCAAAAAACATGAAAAATAAAAACGAAAACAACTCTAAACACAACCACAATTTCTAAACGTTTATTAGAAACGTTTGAAGAAGCTTATAAAATAAAAAAACGATTGATGAAGGGAAAAAAAAAAAAAGAGTAATGAAGCTTAAATTACCAATTTATAGGGCAACAAATTAGCACGTTGGAAATCCAAGCAATTGAAAAGCCAAATATGTAAAAGTATTTTTCTTAATCGTCTACCCAAAAAAGTATTTTTTAATCACATAAAAATTACAAATTGTGAAAGAGGATAGAACGTGGAAAATGCTTTTGAAACGTAATAAAAAAGTAAGTGCCACACTGACCCCACTGAATTAAAAAAAAAGTAGACTCGTGAAAGGGAAAACACCCGGGTCAACACAGAACTTCTATTTCGATCTCCCGATTTTCAAATGCAAGTATAAATACGTATGCACATGCATAGGCAACCTTTTTTCTGAAGAAAAAAACAAAAAAATTAATGATGTTCTCACACCTTATCTAATCGGTCTGAGGTCACTTGATAATTATTAAAACTATAAGTAAAGGGAAGACGAATTTGACCAATATTTTTATCAATTAATATTCAAAAAATCTAAACTTATATCTAAATTATATTTAATAGAATGAGAGACATTAATTACATCTCTCACAATGTATTGAATCTTTAAATAATATATGAGAGAGTCTTATAAGAGAGTCCTAATAAATCCTTTTTACTGCAATATCATCATTATTTATTGTTTCACCAAACAAGAGTAATATAATAATATTAGAATAAATAAATAAAAAGAAAGCACAAAAGAAAATAATTATTTCAATGGTAGGCGTGACTTTGAATTTTGGACAAGAATTTCAACGGTGACCGACATGACACAACCAATAGCTAGTCTTCTTCTATCTATATAATAAAATAATATACACATATACATAAATACAATACACCGCACACCAATACAACCAGTAACTTCAACTATACATATTTAGGCCTCGTTATTTACTCATATATATATATATATATATATATTGTACAAAAGAGCCTCGTGCCAGCTCTACAACAGATATTCATCTCTCTCTCTCTCTCTCGACCAAGTTTCCTGAGTTGAGATTTCGTTGCTATATATACACTTCCATTTTGGTACTTTGACACAAAAATATTTGTGCGGTACCGCTTGAAACTTCATCTGGGTGTTTTGTACCAAGATTTGCAGAGAGACAACAACAACAACTGGTTTGCTTGATTTTCTTGGTCAATTTGAGGCAGTTGGTGCTTGGAATTTGGTTGGAGACAATAAGGAAAAGTTGATCCAATCTTTTTCGACGGCTATGGATTATTCTTCTGCTTTCGTTGATACTTCTTTGGATTTGAATTCTAAGCCTCTCCGATTAATGGAGGATGCTCCGGTAGGTAGAAAGCACATACATATACATATACATACACACAAACACACATATATATGGGTGTAGTTTGGCATGCCCAAAAGCTTTATGATAGATTGTTTGAGTTAAAATTTTCTGAATTTGGAAATTTTTCTTTCAGAACAAAGAGGTGGAAAGCAAACTTATAGACTTCCAAATGAAGCTTTCAGCTAAAGAAGAGGTTAGTCCTTCTCTGTTTTGAGCCAACACCTATATGGATTTTTGTCATTAAAATGTTTCTTTCATGTTTTCTATGTCAAGATCACGATGAGATATATCTGGGTTTGGATTAATATGTAGTTCTCAATCATAATTTCAACTATCCACGAACATATCATAGGCTTGCTTAATTGTATCGTCTTCTGAAGTGCTTCATTTGTTTTTGGCATCTTCAGAATGGTGCTCTGGTAGAAGAATTGAAGCGGGTTAGTGCCGAAAACAAGAAGCTAACGGAGATGTTGACGGTGATGTGTGAGAATTACAACACTTTGAGAAGCCAGCTAATGGAGTACATGAACAAGAGCCAGGCTGAGAAGGAGCTTAGCCCCACAAAGAAGAGAAAGTCCGAGAGCAGCAACAACACCAGTACTAACGTCGTCGGAGTCAACAACGGAAACTCCGAGAGCAGCTCGACGGATGATGAGTCCTTTAAGAAACCAAGGGAAGAGCCCATCAAGACCAAAATTTGGAAAACTTATTACAAAACAGAAGCATCAGATACAAGCCTGGTAAGTAGATACAAAAATACAATGAATAATACTTTTGGTTCAATTTTCATTAATTAATTCAGATCATTTGTACTTACGAATCTTATTTGTATGGCAGATTGTTAAGGATGGATATCAGTGGAGGAAATATGGCCAAAAGGTCACAAGGGACAATCCTTCTCCTAGAGCTTACTTCAAATGCTCGTTTGCCCCAAGCTGCCCTGTGAAAAAGAAGGTAATTTTCTTATTTCCCATCGGAGAATTTTTTGTTTCATTTTCAAGTGTTATATGTACTAAAGTACTTTTGCACAGATTTCTTTGTTCATTTTCAAAAGTGGGATTTGTACTAATGTACTTTTGCACACAATTTCTTTGTTCATCAGGTCCAGAGAAGTGTTGAAGATCAATCAATTCTAGTGGCAACTTATGAAGGCGAACACAACCATCCCCAACCTTCTCAGCTCGAGGCGACATCGGGTTCAAACCGTTGCATGACCATAAACACGGTCCCATTTTCGACCTCCATTGTGTCGTCTGCGCCTAATATCACTCTCGACTTCACAAAACCAAAGGCTAGCAGTACTAGTGACACCACCAAAAGCGCAAAACCAGCTAGGGTTGATTCGCAGGAAGTGCGACAGATATTGGTGGAGCAGATGGCGTCTTCCTTGACAAAAGATCCCAACTTCACTGCAGCTTTGGCAGCGGCCATTTCAGGAAGAATTTACCAATAGAGCAATCCAACTGAAAAATGGTGAAAGGACGGCCAACAATTAGACGATTCCCACTTTTCAAACATTTGATAAGTTTCGAAGTTCAGGATGTTTTTCTGTAAATACCGCACCGGAAAATAGGCAAAGATTTTGATGTATACTTTTGAATACTGCTCAACTAATTGAGTGGGGCTAAGATTGTTTTCCAAATTGGAAGTGTAATTTGGGCGACTTGTATTTTCAGCCAGTTCAAAAGGTAAAAGTTTACCCATAGTCATCGGTTATGCATGGTTACAATGCAGAGCAGCGTGACAGTCATTGTCTTATATGGTCAAGAAGCCAAATTATATCAATCTTGAAATTAGCTTGAGTGGTTTTTAGTCAAATTACGTCTTCTCTTTGAATAACATGGCAATATATAATTGATTCGAGGGGATTTTGTGCGACGCGAGATAGTGCACATTTCTGAAACAAATCACATCAGTCATTAATTTTGTGTGTAAAGAATATATTAGCTAAAAAAAATGAAACAACAATATGCAAATGTTATAAAAATATATGAAAGTTGATAGTTTAGAAATGCACACTATTGATAAGTTGATTTGTTCAGAAGAATATGGTAGTGTATTTCTTATTCATATGATTACTATTTCGAACTCTCAAATCATATCAGTATCATATTGAACTAATAAGATAAGTAGGATAGTATAACAAAGCCTAATGAAGATCTGATGATTCAATATTAACAAGGTATTTCTTTTCATACCTTATCACAATTTTTATTATTATTATTTTAAATAATTTACCACTGCCACAACTCTAGGGGCGTCGGTGCCGGTGGTCTTGACATTCTGTGCCGAATTGGGCATAAACAATTAAGTTTAAATCCTCCCCCACCACAAAAGTATAGAAAGAAAAGAACAAAGAATGATAATTGGATACTTTGAATTAATGAAGTGAGGTAGGCGACCAAATGGTTGAACATTTGATCGTCTAGTCAATAATGGGTAACGTACGGTTTGGGAAGAACCAACTTGTTATATTATCTACAACGAGTCATTTGTCCTGAGCAAAGAAGGAAAAGAAAAATACAAATTGCCATTCAACTCGGACGATAAAGAAAAGAACAAACATCGTAGTTGAGAATGATGTAACCCTGACCAAAATAATAACCACCACGTCACTGTATTCAAACACGATAGCCTGATTTTAACTATTTCCTACGTACGTAACTATTTATACACACAACATTTTTCCCCACATCCACAACATCTCACCGGCGCAAGCCCTCACAAGCCAAGTGAAACAATTTGCAGTTCACCACGCAAAAACACTAGACAACTACTTCGAGATGAACACCAGTTCATCCATAGCTCTTGCCAGTACTCGATCAGTCGGTTCTCTGGGTGTTTCTGTGTTGTGGCCGCCATCTCTTTCGCTTGCTTCTGCTGTGGCTAAACATTCTTGGAAGCGGAAGCAACTGATAAGATGATCATTTGTGAGCCCAGCCACTTGCATGAATGAGTAGATGACAGTGGGCCCCACGCTGCGGAATCCCCTTCTGACCAGGTCCTTGCTAATGACCTCTGCTTTGGGTGTCTTGACCGGAACCTGGCGAGGATACCTGAATTGGCTGACTATCGGCTTATGATTTACAAAGCTCCATATGTACTCGTCAAAGGATCCAAACTCTTCAATCACCTGCATAGGGACAGAAGCAGAAAAAGGAAAATGTAGAAGATTCAAAATGGAAATGGCAAATTTGGTTCTCTCTTTTTTATTTTATCAATTACTTTTGGAGTTATACGGGTTTTCAGATTTACGGATGGGTAGGAGACAGCTTTTTGATACCACTAAATTGGTAACCCAAAGCTTTGTTTGCTAAAGAAACGATAATTCACTCCTTATTCAACACAATGCAACGCGTTTTCATCAATAATAGAAGTTATAGGACAAATAATTCTAAAGAGAACAAGAAATCGGTCCCTACCTTGCACATTTGACGTGCATTCTCAATCATTGCTCGCAGTTTTAGTTCTGACAGTAAAGAAGTGGCAGGGCTCCCCGGAGCGGTAACCTTTTTCTCATTCAACTTTGAAATGGCAACTGGGTCAAAGTCCAAAAAGACTTCCCTGTGTGAAAATGAGAATAACGTTATTAATCCAAGATTTCTCGAGATCTTATAAACACCAATGCAGAATTGCAAGAATGAGATAGCAAGCCATAGAAAAATATTGGCTACCAACTGCAGCACATTGAAGATGAATTTAATCCGTTGCACAACCTTACCTAAAGATATCCCTTTTGTTAAGAATCGCAGGCCATGAGAGTTCAGCCAAAGCACCTGACAGGCTAAGCAATTCAAAAAGTTTCCTGGATTTGTCAAAAATACCCAGAAGATGAATTAGTCACCAAAATATTCAAACTCTAGAATCCACAACCAAATCTTTTGGGTCGCAAAAGACGTACTTGTCATCGTGGACCGGGAGTCCCCATACCTCGTCGTGAAAAGTGATGTAACATTGATCTTTTTGAACAAAATGAGAAGCAGTCAGAAACTGAACATTTTAAAAGGAAAGATATTAATGAGATTTGAAAATTAATTAAGAAAATAACATATTAGTAGAAGCTAACAAATTCACAGAGAATTAGGGATGGCAAAACTGAAAGCTTCAAACTCTCAACTATAATTTGGAAGTTTCTAGTTTCAAACAACCTTTTATCCCAGCTTTAATTTCATACAACATTAACGTTTCAAAATACCCTGATCAAGGATTTTTGGGTGGAAATGAAGTCTTTAAGGTCTACATCAACAAAACATTGAACGGTACCATAAAAGGACCTGAGGTTTCATTTATTAAAAAAAAGAAAAAAAAGAAAAAGAAGAACAGAGCTTCTGTCCCTGCAGACCACCATAATTCAAAAATCCAGGAACATCGAACTAGAGCTTCACATCTATTTCGCATATGTACTTGGATTCCTTCTCTTTTCCCCCATATTGTTAAGTGAAAATTTGGACTACTTGTGTGAACTAAACAGGAAGGATAATGGATAACAAACGGGATAAATTGTATGTCATTAATCTAGCGGAAGGCCATTGTCCAGTAAGCCCTATTCACTCCTTATAAAAGTACACTTATTGGTCACGGAAAACAGCCACTGGAGTACATGGTCCCCTTCTGATCGAAACAAATAATCAATGATTAAAACATAAATGATCTTGCAATTAAGGAAGGTAGTAACTAGTAACATCGTGTAAGATCCTCAAGAACACCTTAATTCAAACTTGAGAAGACCATCAGTACCACAAAAATTGCAAAGAATATTTTGGTTACGAGCAATGCTAGCAATTGCATCAATACGGCATGATCTGTTTACTCGTACTATGGGTTTGTCATCACAAATAGTCAACGAAATTATGCTCTTATGCATTGTGAATATGGATTTGTCAAAATGCTTTTGGCTCAGATAAACCAGAAGTTATTATCTTCACCAAAAGTAAGTTCTAAAATCCATAGAGGCTGTGCCCCTTTGAAAATCATTTTTGAATTTGTAAACATAAAAATATTAATCCAACCCTTTTCCTGCATTTGTTGTGAACAAGCATGAAATTCAATAACCTAACACTCCCCGTTTTCTATGTGGAAAAGGCAGAGATACAATGCACGGACAATACTCGGTGGGAATTTGTTGACCATAATCCATTGCAGGAAAAAGCAGCGGAATGAAAAATCTAAATATATAAGGTTTTAAGCGATGTTTTCCATTGCATTCCCTCACTTTCCCACCAGCCAAACACTTCTAAAGGCATGAAAAAACAAACAATCTAAGATAGAAGCAATAAAAGCACGGACTTACAGGCGTTGGGCGTAATCCAAGAGCATCGTTTCTTGCTATCCAAGCAATCGTCAGAATCCGCCGTTACCACATTACCACCACCGCCGACCTTATTCATCGATATGCTCTCGGTCTCAATTTTCTCAACCTTCTTCTCCGCCTTCAGACCGCATTGCCTCCTCCTCATCGGCGCAACGACGCTCCGCCTCACGGCCCTCCCGCTGTGCGACGAGTCCGACGACGACGCGTCAGACGAACACGAAGCGCTCATAGAGGAACCGAGCAGCGCGTGGTGGTGGTGCTGCTGCGGCTGCCTCAGAACCGCCGGCACCTTTACGCGTTGCCGCGGCGATGGCGACAGAGACGGCGAATGAGCCACCGCTTTCTTCTCCGTTTCTTGGGACGGCTTCTCGGATTTCTTGAGAGACTTTGATGCCGATTTTCTGGTATCCGCCGGTCTCGCCTTGTTTCCGGCGGGTCCAAGGACTGGTCTTGGCTCCGTATCGGCGATGTTCATCGATCGGAGTCTCGGCGGGCCCGACATTGCGAAAAGTCGTCTTTTCGCAAAATGCGCCGGAATTTTCGCCGGTTAAGAAGCTCGATTACCGATCAGACCACCGAATTTGAATGTTCCGGCAACAGAAAGTCTCCGATTTGGTGGAATCACTGGTGAGGTTTTGGAGTGAGAAACAAGTAGAGGCGTTAGGGAAAACCTTATGGAGCTATGGACGCTTTGAGCTGCATTAGTCGAGATGAGACTTACTGGAGTGAGGTGAGAGTGAGCGTCTGGAGGGTGAGAAAGTTGCGTGGGAAAGTGTGGGAAAATTCTCTGATGGTGGAGGAAAATTGACGGAAGTTTTTGATCGAGAAAGCGAAGAATCGGAAGGTAGAGAGAGAAGAAAGGAAAGGTCGTAAGGTCGTGTCCACCACTGAGAACCTTCCACGTGGATAAACTTTCGATTTTATGAAGACAGAAAAATATTAATGAAACGACATATCGTTTTCTATGTTTGAAAGCTTGCTCCCGTTTAACATAAGCATGACTCTCCATTTTTCCGGTCAAAGTGTAGTGTGTAAACTGTAAAGTTTTCCCTATAAATTTTTCTGTCTAGCTGAAAGTAACGGTGTGTTTAGTACGGTGGAAAAGAGAGAGAAAAAAAATAGAGTAAGGATTTTAAAGAGAAAAATAAAATTTTAAGTTGTTTAGTAGGGAGAAAATGAGAAAGAAAGGAAAATGAAAATTTACAAGACCTATTAATTTTTAATCCTCTCAACTTTAAGAAGAAAAAAGGAGGGATAAAATTTGACAAATAAATAAAGTGTAAAATAATAATTTTAATATTTACCATTCATCGTATCTTTATTTATATTTAGGTATTATTGTAAAATGTTTTAAATTTGACATTTTCTTTTCACTTTTCTTTCACAAACAAAATAAATGGTGCTAACATTTTTTTCAATGAAATAAAATAGTATACACCCACATTAACTATAATTAGAAAGTAATTTACATTTTTAAGGATAAATTCTGTAATTTTCTTTAAAAAAAATTACCGCCACAAAAAAAACATGTTTCTTGAAAAGCCAACAAATGCTAAAATATGTAAATATATATATGTGTGTGTGTGAATGTGTGACAGTCTTTGAGCTTTTATATGCATCAATATCATTGTGCGTATGGTTTTTTTTTTTTTAATCGCATCTAGTTGATTTTGTATTATGGAGACTTTGTTCAAAAACAAAAAAGAAGAAGAAGACAATTAATAAATAAAGGTATATGTACTTGCAATGTTTTTAAAAAGGAAATATGACTTAATAGTTCAAAGAGATTGTAAATCAAATCAAGACTAAAATTAAGTGGAATATGAGAGGGGTATTATAAAAATTAATCTATAAAAAGATAGAGTTTTTAAACTTTTATTAGAGAAATATTAACTAGTGGGAACATTTATAAATTTTTAGAGTGTAAATATAACTACTCGTCTCTTAATTAGAACTGGGCCAATAATTATAAGTGGGACTAAATTGGTAAAGGATTGAGCCGACACTTCCCACAATATGGGTGACCATAAGAACTGATAAAGTCGTTAGGCCAATTGAACCCACAACCGAATCTATGCCATATGTGAATTAGCAGTCACTCCAAATCGATATCAAACTTTCAATGTGACAAGAGTTTCGATTTTACGTTCTCAGGCGCAGTTCTAAACTAGGGGAAAGCATTAATAAAATGATGCCATTTTACCTATTACATGCTAATCCAAAAACAACACTAATTCAATTATTACTAGACTAAAATTACGACCACATGCTCTATGTCATGCTTCAAAGTTCAAAGTTAGATTATGTGTCATTTTTCGAAGATATAACATAAATTTTGATACTTCAAGTTAAATTACATGTCTCTCCTTGTCCAAAAGTTTTATGAGGCTTCTAGTTAATTAAACAAAATAGCCCTTTCATGCTTGGAAGTAAGGTTTTTTATTTTTTATTTTTTTATCCTAAATGCTTGGAAATAAGCCTTGTTATGCTCCTTTTAGACAAAAACAAAAAGAGCAAAAAAAGCAAGGAGAACATGACCCCACTTATCCAACCAGCCTCCAACTCCACACACTCAAAATCCCAACGTCTACTAGTTTGCCTTAACGAACTAACTTCTCAGGTCCAACAAAACTCGCAGAAAAAACACAAAAACTGAACCCATCCATGGCTACAACTTCTCTGCTTCCCAAATCCCTCTCACCCTTTCTCAAGAACCCACATTCTCCATTCCCTCCAACCCACTTGACCAAACTAGCATTCCTTAACTCACAAGACCATCCTCATAATTCCAAGACCAGACCAAACAACCTCCACACCGCCAACGCCAAGAAGAAGAACCCCTGGCTCGACCCTTTCGACGACGGCGAAGACCCCGACATGGAATATGGCTCGCTCTTCGCCGACGGAAAGCAAGAAGAGGACCCGAGGCCGGCCGATAACCCGGACAACCCCTACGGGTTCCTCAAGTTCCCGAAGGGGTTCAACGTGGAGATTGTTCCTTTGGCGCTAAAAGTGAGGGGAGATGTTAGGAGGTGCTGCTGCATTATCTCCGGCGGTGTTTACGAGAATCTGCTGTTTTTTCCGGTAATTCAGTTGATTAAGGATCGGTACCCCGGTGTTCAGATCGATGTAATCGCCGCGGACAGAGGGAAGCAGACTTATGAGCTGAACAAGAATGTGAGGTGGGCTAATGTCTATGATCCTGATGATTATTTTCCTGAGCCTGCTGAATATACTGATATGCTTGGAGTTCTCAAGGTCAGTGATATATATATAATTTTTTTGACTAATAATACGCCTTCAAAGAATGATGGATTGTTGTTTAATAGATCCTGTTATTGCTAAAGTAGGCAAGTTTTATCTTTTCTCACCTCTTAGGGCATGTCCGTGCCAAATTAGTATGCTATTCCAAATTTTATCATTTAAGTAGGAAAATCGCTTTTCCATACAATGCTATCTTTTATGTTAAATTTGATAAATTGATATTTATTGTATTCGATGCCAATTTGGCACCAAAGATAGGATAGGATATGCCAAATTTTGGCATTTGATTCAAATTATATTAAAATTCAAAGAGTTTGATACTTAATAAACATAACAAAAAGTATATTTACCGATTCAAATAACATAATACATTGAAACACAAAATGTCATTTTCATACTTTCTTATTGGAGAGACACCACATGCATAATCGGTCTAATACATTTCAAGAGTCTAATTTAACCCAAAAGGCTAACCTATTAGGTCTTGGGTCCTTTCATGTATACAAATCATTTCACATCTTCATTCACTTTTCATGTGAAACAACACACACATGCAATTTTCTCAACAATCTCCACTTCATGTGTGTGTTCACCAAGTTCCCCCTCGAACCAGAGTTTCAAGTAGCCTACGCATCTAAGCATCACACTCCAAACGGAAGCCAACTCGAGCATGGGAAAGAGAGCCGAAACCATGCGAATCTACCAATGCTCCACCAAACTGCGGGAACACCAACTGCAACTGAGTGTGATCGCTTAGTCTATACGAACTATCAGCTCTGATACCACTTGTTGGGGAGACACCACATGCGTAACTGATCCAACATACTTCATGAGCCCAACTTGACCAAAAAGATTAATCTATTAAGTCTTGGGTCTTCCATGTATATAAACTATTTCACATTTTCATTCACTTTCCATGTGAAATAACACACACAAATGCACTTTTCTCAACATTCATGACTCCAAATGTAGTATTGACATTTACATTTGCACGGGACATGGTCTTAATAACTTAATTTTGGCATAATTGGTACATTATGTAAGAGTCAATTATAAGCTTATGTTGCCTTGCGCTTGCAGAATAGGTACTATGACATGGTCTTGTCAACTAAGCTAGCGGGCCTTGGGCATGCAGCTTTCATATTTATGACAAGCGCTCGAGACAGAGTTAGCTACATCTACCCGAACGCAAACGCTGCTGGAGCTGGACTGTTGCTGTCCGAAACATTCACACCGGAAAGCTCGAATCTCTCCGATGGAGGGTACAGCATGTGAGTTTCCTTGAATCATATATGATGTTTCCATATGAATTTGTTTCTGAAATGCATTGGATTGAACATACCCTCTTGGTATTCTTTAAAAAAAAAAATGTTATGCTATATATGCCTATATCAAAGATGTTTGTTTGATTTCTTAGGTATCATCAGATGGCTGATTGGTTGGGGAGACCATTTCGGAGTGTGCCGCGGCATCCCGTGCCCCCGCTCAAAGTCTCGATTTCACGCAAATTGAAGGAGGTTGTGGAAGAGAAGTACAAGAAAGCTGGAGCAGAGAAAGGAAAATATGTCGTGATACATGGGATAAAGTCAGATTCCAAGGCCACAATGCAGTCTAAGGGTGACACAGATAGCTTACTACCCATCCAAGTATGGGATGAAATAACCAGTGGTTTAAGGTACCTAATCAATCTTCCAGAATTTTATTGAATCTCTGGACTTCTAAGCCATAAAATCACATGAACTAGTGTTTGTTAATTTGTCATTCAAACAGGGAAATTTGGCCAGTTTTTGTGATTCCACATGAGAGAGAAAGAGAAGATGTGGAGGAGGTTGCTGGAGATGATGCCAGCATTGTGTTCATCACAACCCCTGGACAGGTTTATGTGAATTTCCGTCTTTACTTTTTGCTTTTCTAAAGAAACATAATTATCACGCCAATAAGAAAATGAGAAAAGAAAGAAGAAAATAATTGTTTCTTGATCCCTAATATAGTAGAAGTATTACATTTACATCCCATGTTGACAATTGACAAGACACTTCATCTTCACAATATTCTTGTAAACTTGTCTGTTTAGCTGGCTGCTCTTATCAATGACTCGGCTGGGGTAATATCCACAAACACCGCTGCTGTTCAACTAGCAAATGCACGAGAAAAACCAAGGTAAAGTAGGGCCCTAGTTCTTTGGCATCAATAATCTAAGTTTTAGACAATCAGATTTTTATCGAATCTTATTAAATTTGCACATTTTTTTAGGTGGTCTTCATGGTATAGCAATTTATTTTGCTCCACCGATGGGGTTTTTACTATTAGATTAATTTTTTAACAGTCAGATTTACAACAGGAATAGTTTTTTACAGCGTTTTGTAAATTTTTAATATGGACCTGCACAGATCTGACCATTAAAAACTAATCTAATGGTTGAAAATACTTGCTCCACCGGTAGAACAAGCCGTAAAGATTCTTTTTTTTATTATTCTAATATAATTATGATATGATCTAGATCTCCAATTGTTCAGTATCAGGAGGGTATTTTTCTTTATCCTGTCACATAATTTTCATTTCCATTTTACTTTCTCAAAGTGAAAAGATGTGATGCTTCTCATTAACAACTTTTCTAGCTACTTAATTTTTTCTAGTAAGAACTAACAAAAATCTATCAAACTGTTGAGTTCACTAGTTTGTAAACCTTGTATCTGCAATTTCGCATATATATAGAGGCACGGATGCATTTGGTGATAACTACAAGCAATTCGACCTTTTTTTTTTTGGCAGCATTGCATTGTTTTGTTCGGAAGAGAAGGCAAATTTGTTTGTTCCCAATGCAGAAGACAAGAATTGTGTTCTTATTTCGTCTAAGACGGGAAAGTTGATCGATATCGATGTTGAAGCTGTAAAAAAAGCACTCCCAGTTTTTGATCTGTCCTTAGCTCTAGTGTAAGAGAGAACAAGAATCTCTCTCTTTCTCTCTGTTTTGTTTTTTCTTTTCTTTTTTTTTTTTGGTTATTCTTTTTGCTTGTCATGTTTGGCCATCTTAATTGGTTTTGTATACAAGAATAAAAAGCTTTAATACTGATTTAACAATCAATTAGAAAGCGTAAAGTGATAGTTGTAATAGTTTCTCTACTTAATTAATCAACTTGGATCCATATTTACATCTAAAATAGAATATTTCCTCGTCAAGCATTGCATAGTTCATCACCTCATCATTATACTAAAAAACATATTAATCATTCGGGAACTAAACTTAAAAAAATAGTAAATTGCACGTTGCACCTTAAATTATTCATTTTTTGCATGTGCAACCTAAACTTTAAATTTTAACAAACGGCACCCTGAACTTTAAAATTGATTGCAATTAAAGTCTAATAGATAAAGAACGTTATTAAATTGACGATTTAAAATACGTGATTTGCATATGAAAATAAAGATCATTACTTTTCAAATTATGTTACATGTATATCTCGTGTCTCGAAGTATTCATTTGATAACATCATTAACTTTTAGACTTCAATTACAATTAATTTTAAAATTCGGAGTGTAATTTATCAAAATTGAAAGTTAAGGACAAATTGACGATTTAAAATACGTGATTTGCATATGAAAATAAAGATCATTATTTTTCAAACTATGTTACATGTATATATCGTGTCTCGAAGTATTCATTTGATAACATCATTAGCTTTTAGACTTCAATTGTAATTAATTTTAAAATTCGGAGTGTAATTTATCAAAATTGAAAGTTAAGGATCTATTATCTAAAAACTGAATAGTTTAGAGTACAACAATACAATTTACTCTTAAAAAAAATGTACGTTTGGCAGTATGAATTAGCAACCTCGTGTAGAGAAATCTTATGAAGGAAAACGTGGTTTGATCTTTACTATTTAGTTTATGACTCTGTTTTCTCAAAACATAACATAAAAGACAGTCTAATCTTTCATTTATTTGCCAAAAGGCGATTTTTCTTTACGATTCAAACTCAAAATTAGAGGTGTAGGTGTAAGATTACCACCACTACATTAGCTGCAAAAATTGCTGATAGAAGATTTCATTAAAAGCAGCAAAAATAAAAAATAAAAAATAAATAGAGAGATAGAGAGAGAGAGAGACTATTGTAAGAAACTTAGATGAGACAATGGGTGAGTCTCCTAATTCTAATTGGATGGCTTCTTGTGAAACCAAAAGGTTCTCATGTTGAGATTGATGCATAATAATAAAACTTGGGGACTCCTTTTGTTGGATGGCTGATGGTATACATACTTCTTTGATGCTTTTAATGAAGTTTTCCCAACGTGAATTTGCCGCTCCATCTAGTAGTACTATTGGTGAAGTACGAGAAGTACGAGGAGAGAGAGAGAGAGAGGGAGAAGGAGATGGAGTTTGGCTAGTCATGATGTAAGTACTGCAGGCTTGTACGACAATTGACACAATAATGACTACCATAAACGACATTATAATCCTCATCTCAGATACGAGTTTTTCGATTGTGTTCTGGTGTTGTTGAGAAGAAAAAGGATTTTTATTCGTGTGTATGAGGTATCAAATAATATGGCAGACTTTTTAAGAGTGTATTACATGCTACTACCAGCCTGCAAGTCATGTTTATTTATGTAGATTAATGTCAATGATCAATACAGAATTATTTAGTAATTTTAAGATATAGTGAATTTAGATGGTGCCTGAAATGAGGGCTTAAATCTTAAATTCTTTTTTTTATTTTTTATGCAGAATTGCTGGCGGTCGAATGAGGGCTGAAAAGTTAAATTATAAGACCAACTGAGTACTGACAATCGGTTCATTATGGAAGTTGACCCCTACGAATCTTATAAAGGTTATTGAAATAATACACGTGGTTACATGTATAATGTAAATAATTACACATCTAACTGCATTATAAGATTTAAAGTTCAAATCCTCCACTTTTAATCTTTTTATTTTGAAAAAAAAAAAAAAAAAAAAATACGATTCAAACTAAACGACACATATAATATGAGATGGGATATTCGGAGAAAATTTTTAGGAAAAACCCAAAAATACTACTCACTAAAGAATTGCGGAATACTGTTGTGAAACTTGGGTCATATAATCATGGTTAATAACTCTAAGATGATGTGCCCCACCAAAGAATTGCCAGTATATATGTGACTGGAATGGTTATTCTAATATTAATTTATCGGCGGGTATTTATTATTTTAATCGTTTAATGTTGATCAGACATTTATAATAAATTAGTTAGTTGACAAAAAATGTATCACAATTAATGAGATTAGATTTTTATCACGTTACGTCATTAAATTTATGTATTTCATAGATAACGACCAATGAAAATGCAACCATTAAAAACTCCTCCATGTATATATTTATGTATACATACATACATGTTAAAGCTTTTTATTTTTTTCCTTGTAGTTTTTAAATTAGAGACAATTAGAAACACCACTCAAAATGGTAAAAAAAAAAAAAAAGAAAAAAAAATATTTATACTATTCCATTTAAGATCCACTTAAAAATAAAAAAAATTATCATCCAATTAATAAAGAGAAAACAAAAAAAAATATAATGACACCCAATTATTTAAAATGACATAAATAATAGATCTGTGTAAAATCATGGCAAACCATGTAATTTTTCTTGTGAGATATTATTTTGAGAAAATTATGTATATTATGCCTCGTAATTCAATAGCCTTACATTTATATCATCTTTGTTGATTTCAAAAAATATTCTCGTAGAGTATCAAAAGGGTTATACTAGAACTCTAGTGAGATGGACACTATGCATGTAAATATAGTAATAAAAAGAGAAAATTTTAAGTTTAACCATTATTTTTTTCAACTCTTATATTTTATGCTACTATACAAAATTTTGATGTTACTATAGAAAATAACCTGCAGGTTATAAAAAGATAATCTATAGATTACGAAAATAACTTGTAGGTTGCGAAAGATAACCTGCAGGTTACAAAAAATAACTTACAAATTACGAAAAATAACCTGCAGGTTATGAAAAAATAACTTACAAGTTATTAGCGCCATGAGATAAATTTATTATAGTGACAAAAATAAAATAGTATTACTTTAATGATGGCATTTTTGGTTCTCTCTCTAATAAAAATTACAACTTTATGATAATGTTCGTTCGGCCACCTTTGTTGAGAATGAAAAAGTAATCTAGTAGAATATTTTTGTGGCACCAATCGTAAGTTTCAAAATCTGAAAGTTAGATCTTTTTGCGACATTCATGCAGATGCTCTAACTTTGGACCTAGTTATATTTTCAACACCCATAGGGGCATTGGAGAGAGAGAGAAAAAAAAAAAAAAAGATGATAAGAAAAAGGAGAAAGAGAAATGGTCACCGGCCTCATCGCATAATATTTCATTTCAATAATAAACATCATTCGAAAGTTATAAAGTTAGATTTGATACCACCTATGTGACATACATGTACGTTCTTGCCAACATGCAACGTGGGCTTACACAAGTCACAGACTCTCAGAAATCAAAATCGACGCTGAAAGCCACACTTTTCTGAAGCCCACGATAATATATGATCAATATTTTTTAGATAACTAAATATCCTATATAATCATGGCAACAAATTATCAATACCTTTTTGAAAAATAAAACATATATATATATATATATATATATATGTGAAAAAAGGCTTTGCGCACAGCCAAATACCTCTAGCGTGATTTATCACTTTGCCTGGCAATAATAAGCCAATAATTATAATAAAAAAATATATAAAATGTATAACATTGTGGACCGTGGATATCCTAGGATAAGTTATAAAATCTTACTTAAATAGTTAAATATATACCACAACAAAAGACCATTTCTTCATCAATCCCCTTGAATTTGGCAATTCAACATTACCTTTTCTCTCTCTGGAATCTGGATCTCTCTCCCTCTATCACTCCTCGTTTATTGGCTTATAATTAGGCAGACGAGGTCTCTACAGCCTCTTAATGATGGCCTGTGTTTATAAGCACCAAGAAACACAGACCCAGAAGATGGATCGAGTACGGTGTCGTTTCGAGCAAAAATCAACGAGACAAGGATCAGGAGGGCATTGTACTAAGGAGGGTTCGAGCTTGAAGAAAAGATGTATGGAGGTGGCTAAGGAACAACGTTCCAGGTTCTACATTCTAAGGAGGTGCATTATTATGTTACTATGTTGGCACAAGTACGAGAACCACTAATCAATTAATTATATATATATATATATATATTGATTAAATCTAATATTATCTTTTGTCTAGGTTTGCGTTTGATAATATGTAAAAGACATATATGTGGCAAGGCTCGCAATATTAAGCATATTAGACGAAGATGATACATTGCTATTGAGAGAGTTTAGTAATGATAAATATTGATTATATTGTTTATGGTTTTTGAGCTGCCTATTTAATCAAGGGGTACAGAAAATGAAGATCCAGAGCCATGCCACAAAAACCCAGGGTTTTAGTCGGCCCATGAATAAAGGAGTGGATTATATATGGTTTAATTTTGCCAGGGTTTCCCGTGAACAAAAACAAAGGTGTTGAAAGTGATCAGATTGTTTTTGTTGAGAAAATGAACAAGGAAAGAAAACATGAGATATTCATTTACATATTTGGGGGAGAGAAAACATATTAATTTGTATTTTAGCTGATATTAGATATGTATAGTTATTGGTATCTCCACATGTAATATAATTTCCATTATTAATCATGTGCTATTAGTATTTTTGTAATATATAAACAGGGTACAATGTAGAGTACGTTCTTAAATTATTAATTGATGAACGTAGTACTAAAATATTGACTTATATTAATTCTTTCTTTCCCACGCAGTTCAAAATGTAATTCTTTGATCTGTTTTAAGATCTTTTTAACATGACCAATATTTCTCATTAATTTAGGCACTAACAATATAGAAGTGATAATGAGTTTTGTACTTCAACCTTTTGGTTATTGAAGTAATCCAATGGTTGAAATTTATCAATTGTTTCTTCATTTTAGATGCACTTATTTAGATTAATCTACATAATTTATGCCTTTTATTCACACCTCACACCTTATTTTTTTTCACACCTCAT